TATAAACTTTTATTAATAAATTTGGATTTAATCGGCTGTAATTCGGCAGCCGAATAACCCAATTTGGACTAGTGTAATCTTGTAATGTTTTAAAATCTAATAAAATTTTACATAACTTAGTTTGTCTTTACGTAGTAAAAATGAATTTACATAATAAATTTGATTTATTTGACCTTTTATGAAAAAAAAAATCACGTAACTTAAGCTAATCGATAGATTTTTTTGGCTTTCAATATATCGGAAAATTAGAAACAATCAAATGGCCATATGTATGTGAGATTATCAGTACATATACACAGAGCGTATGATCATGTGTTTGAGCAAAATATGATGTTTATTTATAGACTTATAAATTTATTATTCATTCTTTAAAAGTACATCGAGTATCACGACAGACAAACCCTTTCGGACACTATGAATGATTAAAAAAGTTAAAAAAAGGAGAAACTTGAGTCAAAAAGATCATAAGAACAACTGCATACTTTGCGAAAGCAATCTCCGCAATGCGCATCGGAGTTACGAACGTTTTGGCATTCACCAGCACAACATTTCTGATAGGCATTATTATTACTACACTGCAAATGATAAAAAAAAGTTAAAAAGATAGTTTTGACAAAAATATTAAAAAAACAATACATACAGCATTACCACAACTCCCGCAGTTGTTATGGTCAGAATTGATGTCAACACAGGTACCGCTACAATCTAACTGACCCCCAAGGCAAAGGTCCCTTATTATAGCTTGTCCATGTGTTAGGACTAAATTAATAAAAAAAGAGAATTATGACGCTGTAAATAAAACAAAAAGACATTGTACAAAGAGTTCGAAAGAATTTTACCGCAAAGAACGCTTATAACAATGACGAGAAGGTACAATAATTTAGTTTGCATTTGAAATTTATGACAATGAAACGAGATAAATAGGAAAATGAATTCGAGGGATTCAGTGAAATTAAGTAGCAATATTTACGCTCTTTATATAACATTCATCCTATGAATACGCGATATAATTTTTTTATCCTGCTATAATCCAAATAGTTGTGTAAATAAGGAAATAAAAATATCGTGCACATATTTGTATAGATTGTGCAGATTTCACAAACAAATAAAAGACAATATGTCGACTATTTGTAAATAGTAAGATTTTGAACACACTGAGTTGCCTAAATCGTGAACCAGTTTACAAATTTTACTTCTGGCGTATTGGAGTCATCTTATGTTTCCAAATTCAAGGATATCCCATGATGGTATCTTCATATTTAATAAATGGAAAAGTTAGGTGGTTGTATTTGACCTGTCCTTCTTAAGTTCTATATTCTGAGAAATTAGACTTTATAATTTCCATGATCTGGTTGATCAAATTAAGAAACTACAATAATTTTGGCTTTTTTAGTGCAATGGATTTAATTAGAGAATTAAAAAGTATTAATTATAATTTATCAATTTAAATCGTTAATTATTAATTAAAGCGTGAAACAGTAAATCAGGTAAAAGTTTATAAACCTTATGCTTGCGCCTTACTGCATTATTTTACTCTCTAACACACTGGTGTCACATATTGTGTACTTTGGGTAGTGCTTGTTGTACATTCCTTTTTTTGGTAATCAAAGAGACTGACAATGAGATAATCATACAGTTTTTTTTTGTTGTGAGACGCGTTACGACTTGGACAGAAAACGTACCTCTTTTCCTCTGTAATGACTAGTATTTAAATGGGACTTGTATGACCCGTGGGTTACCTAGTCTTACAATAGGTCGGGTTAGGTTGGGTATAACTTGTCGTGTTAATAGAAATTATTAATGTATTATTTAGGATAAAAATAATTAATACGTACAGTATATTAAATTCATGTTCAATAATGTAATATATAATATTTACAATTAAGACATACAGTCCCCCCATAAATGAAGGACCACTTAAACATTATTATAATTAAATGGAAATTGTTGTCATATATTAAACCTTTTAAAAACAACTTTTATGTATTAAGTAAACTTGTTCCTCATAATAAATTCTATACTGTATATGATTAAATTTTTATTAAATTTGAATAAACTTTTATTGTTACATTTAACAATTTTTTTCTGAATGAAAATTTCTGGATTTTTTTGTTAAAATTTTGACACACACATGATATTTATAACTACTGTTTTAATAAGCAATATGATATCAATAAATATTGTTCAACATATGTTAAAGTATTTAAATATAAAATTTCATAAATTTTAATCTGATATTTAAAGTTTTATTTAATAAAATGTACAGTTTTTTTAAATAATAAAATATTAAATTTTTATATTTAATTATAATTATCAATTAATTTTAATTAATTACTAATAGTGGTTACATATAAAATTTTTTATTATTATTAAAACTTATTTTTATGTACCAAGTAAAATTATTCTTCAATATAAAATACATATTCAATAAAGATTTTATTAAATATAAATAAATATTTAATATTTAGTTTTATAATTTTTGCTAAAATATTTTTTTTTTATATTTTATTAAAAAAAAAATCAAATGCTATATAAAAACTTATGAAACTTAATATTTAAATACTTTAATATATGCCAAACAAAATTTATTAATATAAAATTGCTTGTTAAAATTGATCCTAACCAGTCGAAGTGGTCTCAACCTACCTGCATTAGAAGAAAGACAAAAAACCACACTGGTAGGAAATCTCATATCCAAACTTGCCATTTCATTCATCAGAAAATACACCATACAAGACATCTGGTCCATCCAAATGAAAGAGGCAATATGGCTCTGCCCCATATGTAACCCAGAGAAATTTAATCAAAATAATTGGATCCTTCATGCAGCAAGAACAGCCAAGGATCTCAAAATCCACATATGCCCAACAGAGTGCACATTCCGCTGGAATAATGCAGAGAACTCAATTGGCTTTTTGTTCATGGGCCTACAACCTCAATCCAAAAAAACGGCAATAAACACAACA